ATAGGATATATAGGAGGTCTGGGATGCCTGGTATTGTTTGAGACATAAAAATTGTTTTGTTTAACCGTTGTTTTGCTTTTAAAATAATGCAAAAATAATAAAAGACATTTATTCAAAAAAAGAGTCGTTATATATAACTGATATTAGTATTTTTGGCCTTGATATATTAAGGGACCGCATAATCAATGATTATTCTTTTATATTATATTTATTATATCTTATTATATTTTGTATCCTCTCTTTGATAAATAAACATTGCAGGTTGTATTTATGAACGTTTTCCCTAGATTATTGCAATGCCGAAAAAGAAATAAGTACAAGGACAAGTTATGTTCCGATAAGCCTGAAGCGAGATGACGTTTTACTCCCGTCTCTAGACCATAATCCTTTTCACACTGCTTTTGTTCTTTAATTATGACTATTGTTCCTGTATTCTCTAAGGAATCAAAAATTTTAATATGAAAGAATTTAAAAAACTATTATGGTATAGAGACGGGGGTAAAACGTCATCTCGCTTCAGGCTTATTCACCCTTCACAGTATTGACTTTCATATGATAAAGGTGAAAGACATATGAGGGGTGTGCCTTGAGATTTGTTATAAATGTTCTGGCCACATTTCTTTATAGAATATCATATAAAGCTTCTTGCATCAATCAAAAATTTAATGGTCCGTCCCTAAGTTAAATCTAAAATTTGTACCTCATAAATTGAGGTTGCTAGGGCGACACCGGCTCCGCCATTTTTGAATAGAATAAGATAAAATGGCGATTATTATTTTTAGCTATTTAGCTTGCAAGAGGTATTTTAAGCATTAAAGTATGATTCCCAGATTCCCATATATTTGCACTCCATAGTAAGAAGAAATGTATGAATTAGTGCCGAACAGTATAGTCAAAGCATTCAAAAATAATTTGCCTGATGTATCAGAATCAAAATATAACTATTAGACAGACAAAATGTAATACTATTTCTTCATGTGTCGAATTTCTTATTTCTAGGTTATGGCTGACAACAAACCAACGAACCTCCACGGAAAATTAGGAAAGCCATTACTGGACCAATTCAGAAATCGAATGTGGGAGATTGATTGCTCCTCAACTTCTCCCATCCTCCATCGCTTAGCCAGTGAAGGGAACGAGGTTGAGCTCATTCACATGATCAACAACGGAAGCGACGTCAACGAAGAGGACGCTGACGGGCTCACAGCTCTTTATCATGCTACAGACAGAGGACACGCAAACGTTATAGAAATCTTATTACACARTGGTGCACASRTCARTGGAAAAYCTAGCCCTTTGCTCGTTGYTMRAGATTTGAAGTCTGCCCAATTACTCTTACTAGCTAAGGCAAACCTGAATGCCCGAGAYGAATTTGGAAACTCTCCATTACAAACAGCAATTACGAAAGGAAATCATGAAATTGTAGAATATTTCTTGTCAGTTGGTGCAGATATTTTTTGTACCAATGCAAAAGGAGAGACCCCACTACACACACTCTGTTCGTCAATCATGATAAACCCAGACAACGAAACCTTAACTCGAAAACTGATTGAAATGGGAGCGAATGTTAATTCGAAAGATTCCCAGGGTAGGTCGCCATTATATTTTGCTGTCGAGAACCATTACCTCTGGAAAAGCAAAACGGTAGATATTCTAATAAAGGCCGGGGCATCTGTCACAGATGTAGATTTGCGGGGAATGAATCCAATACATCATTTTATCGACGAGTGCAGATCATATTTAGAAGGATATAACAAGGTCTTCTCAGAATATATCAACCTTCTAGTCGTTAATGACAGTGTAGCTAACTCCAAGAATGCCATTGGTCAAACAATCTTGCATTTAGCAATACTCGCTGAAGCACCATTGCAAAGTTTGGAATACCTTGTAGAGAAAGGATGTAGACCCGATACCGTAGACAGTCTAAAACGCTGCTTACTACACTACATCGTAGAACGAGATTTAGATGACGTTGTGGATATTTTACATTTCTTATTGGACAAGGGCCTTAATGTCAATTGCCCTGATATATGGGGACAGACAGCCTTGCATCATGCGGTCGAGAAGAATAAAAAGAAACTCGTCAAAGCTTTGGTTGAACGTGGAGCGGACGTGAACGCGAAAGACTTAGTAGACAGACAACCATTACATATTGCAGCGGAGAGCGGTAGGGACGTCATGTGCGACTTCCTAATCAAAATGGGGGCAAATATCAACGCATTAGACAAATATCAGTCCACACCGCTCCATTTTGCAGCATGGAGTAACAAGGCTTCTGTTGCACATGTTTTAATCGAAGCCGCAGGGTGTGATGCTGAACTTCGCGATGCGTGTGGACAAACGGCGGAAGAGATGGCGAAATTTTGGTCTAGTCTCGATTTTCTGCAGATAATCCACGAAAAAGATGGAAATAATAACCTTGAATCGGAACAGCGAAACAAATTGTTTACAAAACATGGTGGCGAGTTATTGGAGCTTAAAACGTTTCAAGACATCATCGATTCAAGTGAAGAATCGCTAGGAACGTCAGGGACTTTGAATGAATTTTTAAGCTGCCTTCTTTCCACACCGGGAATAGGCACAGTTTTTGGAGATCCGGAAGCGGAAGAAATTCGGGACGTTTTAGACAGATTTGCTGCCAATATTGTAAAACGTATAGCTGATAATCATCCAAAAATGCGCTGTACTCTGTACCGGGGAGGTAGTTCGTCAGAAGGAACCAAGACTAAATATCCAGATGAGTTTGATTATGTTGTGTGCTTCGATGAACTAAGTGAGAATGTAAATCCCAAGTATAAAACCGAGGACGTTCTCGAAAGTTTGCAGCTGGTTTCAGATATAAAAGAAAATAAATTAGGAGACACTTCATCATCAGTGTCAAATTATACTCGAATCGTGCTGAAGGATCGCACAAGTTACGAGTACTCAGAGTTTACATCCCTACAACCGAATGGGATTTCAAATTACTTGATGCTTCATTTATTCACACAGCAACTATCCAATATCGTTTACGATGAAAGCTTCCCAAAAGATGAACGTTTGGTGATAAAAGACGTCACCCTCGACCCTAAGCTGTGCCTGTTGTGGAGAGGATCCAGATATAAATCTCTGGCGATTGAAGTTGATTTTGTCCCAGCAGTGCGCCTTCCATCTTGGCCAGACAAATTTCGAATCCACTCTCCAATCCTCAGTCCAGATCTTTTACAGCTTCCCTGCCTCGCTGTTCCGAAAATGACGAGTCAACAAGATGAGAGCCTTTGGAGGTGTTCTCTTTGTCTTGTCGAGACTGCTATTATGAAAAGGTGTCTTCGTCGAATACGAAATAGCTACATAGCTGCAAAGTCGCTGATCAACTCCGCTTTCATCTGCCCCCTTGTTAGCTTTGAGGATTACGAGGACACGAAGATGCATTACAAGAGTCTACATGATAGTGTTTCTTCGGATGAAGAATTGGAAATGTATGAACTCGTCGAATGCATTGTGCCATCATATATACTCAAAATGGCTTTCTTTCAATCCATAGAAGAAAAAGCAGTAAAGGATGGAGTGGAAACTGTCTTCGATGAATATAATCAGTATACTCAACGGTCAGAAAGCGCTTCTGATATTGCGACGTGTGAAGTTGAACCTGATCCAGAAATCGTTAAGGACATATTCATGAAATGCGATGATTGGCTTTCCAATGAATTTGTTCCGTCGTTCTTTAACCCACGACAAAATGTATTGGGATCAGAAATGCTGGATGAAAATGGTGTTAGCAAAGCGCAGATGTTTGTGAAGTATATTTTGAAACTTTTAAACGAAAAGTGTTGAAGTTCAATATCTGAATCTGAATAGTAAGCTTCAAAATCTTCAAAAACGATTGATACCCGCCAACAACCTCTGGTCTGATCTAATAGGTCAGGGCACGGCTAAGCGATTGAATTTAACTTCTTTGATTTTGCAAAAAGAGAAGAGCCGAAGAACCTGAAGAAAAACCGTCTCGAATTACGGTAGAGACTAGCCTGCAAAGCAGGCGTTCTTGTGGATTTGGGGAAAAACCTGGGTTTTTGGGGAACTTTGGAACTTTGGAACGAGCGAGAATTTAACCCAAGCAAAAAAGAACCGAAGAGGGAGGGGGCGTTCTCTTTTTTTTTTTTTTTTTGCTAGGTCCCTTTTTTCTCGCGGGCACCTAGTCGAAACAGGAACCCCAAAACCCCGATTCTTCCTCAAACCCATCACAAGAACGACTGCTCTGCAGGCTAAGTAGACACCAACAAACTTATAATAAGACGCCGAGTCCAGTGATCAAACCTGATTCCCCGGCGGTCAGAGATCAGTGCAATACTGCTGCACCACCTCCTCCTTGATTCCTCTATTGATTAATGATTAATGATGAATAAATATATTAATATATAATTCATAATCGCATTAATGCATTACCGATGTAATGTGGCAATGTGACTGATGCAATGAATGTAGGATATTTGCTAATCCAATGTTTCCCACTGCCAATGACTTCGTCAATAACTTAACCTGGGGAGTCGGGGATGTCCAAAAATGAAAAGTCTTGATCTTAAACACTCTTTTTTACCTTCATTTGAAGATTCTTTGCATTAAATTCTAAGCTTGAAATATTTTGTATGACTGTCTTGTTAATAGTAACTAAATGAGAAAAGAAAAAATAAAAGAATGATTAGAGCAAACTTAGAGCATCACATGTTCACAGTATTTTTTAAAGGTTTAAAGATAATTCCAAAACATGCATTGGGTTGCAGCTGTGGAAAAGATGGAAATATGTAAGTGGTTACTGACAGACAATTAAGCTCTGGACTGATGTAAATAAGGGTATGGCTAACTCACAGATCAAATTTGAATTTAGCTTTAGTAATTGATTATTGTTACATGTAGATTTTGCAGAGGGAGGAAAACTGTAGAACCTGAAGAAAAACCCTCGAATCAATAGGGAAAACTAGAGAACCAAGAAAAAAACCCTCGAATCAATAGGGATTTGCAAAAAAGATCAAGATAATTCATCTTACTTCAATAATGCAGGGAGTGGTTGCTCAATTCTTCCAAGCCAGGAGCTCATGATTCCTTAAAAGGCTACAAAGTTCACCCCTACCTACTCAAACTTACTTCCTTACTAAGAGTATTTAAAGCTACACAGAACAGAGAGAAGTGGGGACCTGGGGATCAAACCGTGGACCTCTAGCTCTGAAAGGCCTCGCACAAGCCAACTGATCTATGCCTGCTATTAAAGACCTAACAAAATGTGCTCACATGGTAAGGAATGGACCTAATCCACCTCTAGAGGCAAAATTTTTCTCATTTCAAATCACGTCATTCTCTAGACTAATTTTTTTGTTTGAGTTGTATCCATATTTATGTTTCTTCTAATACAGGTAAGTAACCATTAAACAAAGAAAATTGATAAGCTCTAAGTGGTCTGAAATGGGAAAACAGTGGAATGAAATAAGTCAATTGAATCCAAGACCCCAAAGGTGAGAGCCAAGTGGACTACTGCCACATATATGGCTGTAATACATACTGAGTCATTGTGGCTTTGATTCATTTGAGTAAATCCAAATATTCTTTCAGTTTTGATTGCCTTTAAAGAGAATGGACATGTCAGTTGAGTGTTGTGTGCTGTGAGAGGTGAATGCAGTGTATTTAATGTAGTGTGTGTGTGGAGGGAACCTCACGGAAAAGACCAAAGAAGTGATGGTTGTAAAATATAAGGCTTTTACCTTTTTGTTGTCCATACTTCTTGGATAATTCTTCACAATCCAGATAACAGCCTTCACTTTCAGTTTTGACTTCAGTTTCATCTTTACCTAAGGATTCTACACAATTTGCCTCTGTTCCTTTTGCATTTGTAAATATGCTTTTATGAATTCTTGATACCTTATCCGATTCTGCTAACATTTTCTCTACATCCATGAGTGTTTTTTGGTAACTGTCATCCTCACTTTCAGGCACATTCACTGCTTTTGAGAATGATTCATCAAATTGTAATAGAAAGCCAGAAATGACTTTTGAGTCTGGAAATGATGCCAGGTTTTTATCTGAGTTCATTGTCTGTGTTTGCAAACTAGAACAATACAGAGAGAGATATCGTTTTTATTCGCAAGTTTCCATATCATATCACAAATGAGCAAGTCTGAGAGTAAGTAAGAAATATGGTGGGTGGATGGATGGATGGATGGATGGAAGAGAGAGAATGGATCAATGGATGTTTGGGCAGGGTATTGGGGGAGGATGAATGAATGGATGGATGGAAGAGTAGATGGATGGGTACAGTAGATGTACTTATGGACAGTTTAGACATAAATACCATCATAACACCTAAAAGTAGACCATCATCATTAAGGTACCATGGTGGATCCAGGATTTTACAAAGGGGGGTTCCATTCCTTATATTAACCAAGTTAAAAACTGGTTTTCTGTTTTGTGGATGGCAGTGTATCAAAGGAAACCTCCTACATCAGCAGAGCCTACTTTTCTCCCTCCAAAACAAAAGGAAAATAGGCTCAGCTAGCAGAGAACCATTGAGGTAGACATAAGCAGGAATCAACTCACCCATTGGCTGATAAAAGCCTCTTCACGTGATCAAGAGTAATGACAGTCCTCAGATATTCTAGACTGATTTCTCCACTATCTATTGTACTATCATTACTAAGTACAAACGTATTGGTTTTCTCATCACACAATTCAAGCTCTTCGTCCAGTATCTCCTTACTTGATGACTGTTTACCATACTCAAGTCCACTTCGTAATACATCATTTATAACATCTTTTGTTATTCTAATTCTATCTAACTTGAAGTTCAGTTGCCCAGTACTTGGTGAAAAGTTGAAGTCTTTTACGTATATTAAGATAGTAGAGGTATTTAGAATCTTTTCCAAATCTTTTGAAACGTCAACCTGGAAACGAAAGAATTATAGTTGCACATTGGAAACAAATTTCCTGTGAAACTTTCCATTACAAAAACTAGGTAATTTAGTACCTTAGTGTCTTTGTAGAGCTCCTCTAAGCTTTTGATTCTTCGTCCAAAGGCAGGGAAGTGAATATCGCCCAGATTATTAGGCTTTCTTTTGACAATGAGCGCAAACTTTCCCGACAAATGAGCAGCTTTTCCTGTGAATATTTGCTTCAGTCCCACATTCAATGTATCTTGGAGATACTGAATAGGGTTAGGATGCCCCTCCATAGTCTGATAAAGGATATTATTTATAAATACATGGCATTGTTAAAAGAAAAATCTAATATTTTCTTAAAAATTTGAAATCATCTGTGCAGGCCGCCATTTTGGAAAATCAAAACCGTGAAAGACTAGAATCTAGTAGAGTCTGGGCCCTACCAGTCCAACTTATGTACAGGGATCCCACCTCCACCGGAGCGTCCATCTAACATCAATGTTCACTTTTCTATTCTCATATTTTCTAAGTATTTTCTTTTTGTTTCAGTTTGACTTCCTTTCTATTTTAAAGTATTTACTTTCATCTTGCTATCATTGAGAATCACAGACACAGACAGAAATAAGAATGTAGTAATAACGATGAAATATTTTATTTTTTCTTGAATAAAAAAAGTTAACTTCATACCTAGACTCTCGTCCCCGGTGAGGGACAAACAGTCTAGTAAATATTCAAAGTTCCTTTGCATGCTTTTACTATTTTACAAAGGAGTAGTAGTAGTAGTAGTAAAACACGTCCAGAGGTAGTGACTGCATTTAAAATTGGAGTGCAATAAATACATTCTGTAATAATTAAAGGCTATAAATAGATAGCCATATTTTCCCTATTCCTATAAGATTAGAATTATGACATGAACAATGAGGAGTTTCTCTTTTCCCGCCATGGCAAATGTTCAAGAAATGGGTTCGCAAATCGTGTTCCGCCATTGAACACATTTCCCTTCACCTTTTGCATTTGACGATAAAAGAGAATCTTTTTCTTATCTAGTTTTCTACATCACCTCAAAAACAGAGGTTATTAAACTAGGTACGTAATTAGCAGTGCAGTGAGACAATTTTGAAGCCATTAAATAGACGACAGCCTTGCCTTTAAGTACAAAGGCTAAAACAGTATTGCGCATGTCTGGAAAAGCAGAAGCAAAGCACAGAATCCCTCATGAATGTATGAGATTTTGGTTTCATAAATCAAATTTTCCCCGTCTGATTATTATCAATTTTTAATTATGGAAGTCAAAACCCAAACGTTTAAGGGTAATGTTCCGTGTTTGTATCCGCCATTTCGAGCATGCGCACTACCTTTTCCCCCTGTATAGACAGTAGCGAGTGAAAAGAGCAAGTCAATAGTGGTTCTAAGTCTTCCTTTCCTTTGGAAAGCAACGAAGATAACCTCACTTTCAGTTTTCATAGAAAAATGGCAGAAGTCGAGAAAAATCAGTGTGGATTGTAGAAAACAAACATCTAGGCAAGGCGCCCTGTGCTTAGAAACTTCCTGTCAGAACGGTGAAAATATCTTCGTCAGTCTATATTTACATTCTATACTATACTCTAATCTATTCATATAATACTCTATGAATAATCTCTATGTATAAATCTATATTATATGCTCAGTGAAGGCTGAGAATGCACTTACATCTATGCTGAACTTCTGGAGTCAGAATCACAAGGATGGTGTGCACTAAAGCGTTGTGGGATGGGAGGATTTACCGAGAGGTAGATGACGGGAGACGGAAGGGAATGAAACCCATATTTGCGCATCACTGATTCAAAAACGCACCGCCAACAACCACATTCTACAGCCTTCACATCTCTTTTTCTTCGCGTCATTTTCGTCTTGTGGAGCAGTTACTAACGCGACTGACTTGGAAGTTTTCTGTACTAACGATATTTTCTATTATATATACACCTATATACATACATATGCTATACATGACTCGTATTGTATTCCTCGGTAAGCAGTCCATCGTGTTCAGTTTCTTCAGATATCTCATTGGAAATACCACACGCGCATTTGACATTCATCCCACACGGATGCCCACATCGGCAGTTTATAGTTCTGTTTTTGTCTTTTGTAGAACTAGCTCCTTTTCTCCGCGCGGGTGATACGCTTTTACATTTTTCAGTGTCACTGTCCGAACTATGAATTTGAACGTGTATAACCTGTCTTAAAGGTTCTGAAGCGTCCGACGGACAAGACGACGCTAACGAACTATGACTTCCCTTAACTGAAGTCTCAGAACTTATGTTATCCGCAGTTAGAGCCTTTTCAGACCCTGAGTTTGTCTCTGAACTCGAAGTACTCGGAGGAAAAGCCGAACCCTGAGATCCAGTTGAAGTAGTAAATGTTGCTGTTGATCGTGGAGAATCACGACTGGTTTGAGTGCTGCCCGAACTGTAGGATTTCAGAGGGATATAACTAACGTCTTCTCGTGGTGCAGCTGTAGTGTGAAGCTCCTCGTGTTTGCGTCGTCTGTTTGAGCCCCTACGAGCGCAATAAATGACTAATAGCCATACAAGTGACGTCCCTACTACACATGATACAACAACGACGACTATGATTCCTAAGAATGTCTTCTTGTCGCTTGATTCTTTGTCCTCTTTTTGATCTACTTTAACCGATGTACCTGAAAGAACAGGAGATTGTAACAAAATGACACTAATTTCGTACTGAACATGAATAACACATATTCGCTTGTCTGTCACCCAGAGAAATCTAGACGCGACACATTTTGTAGGGGAGCACGGGAGGCGTAGAGGTGTAGATCGCTCACCTGCCATTAATACGACCCGGGTTTGATTCCGGGATTCGGTGTTGTATGTGAGTAGAGTTTCTCGTTGGTTCTCGCTTTACTTCGAGGGTTTTCGATCACGTAACGAGGGCCACAGGTTTGTTAGCCAACTGGCTACTAAGTTCTACCCCCGTAAAAAAACGTTTTTAGAGTTTTGGCTGCTGCCGTCTCTTGTCGGGAACCCAGTGGTAAAGTTCTCAGAAAAAAATATCCCTGGGCACGAAGTCTGTGAAAGCTTGTTCTGGAGCCCAGGGGCATTTTTTTCTGTGAGCAAGTAAGGAGCGACAGAATTTTTAGCCCTGGGTTCCCGAGGGTGTTGCCGTCTATCAAAGAAGTGCATTCTCTTCGAAGAAGAAAACCAATAATTTAGCATAACATACCTGTTAGCACCGTCAACTGAGCGGATTGTCTGGCCGTACCGAGAGCATTCGACACTTCACACATGTAGGTGCCCTCATCATCCAGTTCAACTTTTACAATAACAAGTAGCTGACCATTCAGATGTGTAAGGACTCGCGCATTTAGAGACAACTCTCTATCGTCCTTGTACCAAGCGAATCTTGGCTTTGGGCTGCCACTAGCGATGCACTCAAGGACGACGCTTTCGTCTTCCTTGACAGTCTTGCTGCTCATGGCTTGCATGAAGCGTGGAACCTCTGGATATGACAACAGAAAATAAAGTTAGGGCTACGATACTGCAAGAGTGGACATAAAAGCAGAAGAACAAGACTATGATGGCTTTTAAGCTCCTTCAATTCTGTAGCAATCATAAGAAATCTACCTACAAAACTGGCATGACATATCAAAACGTAACGCAACGTAAGGCGCTCACTCACCCAATACTGTCACGTGCGCCGTGACATTTATAGACCCAGCATCGTTTGTAGCACTACACGTGTAGTATCCTGTATCCTTAGACTTGGAACCTGTTATCAAAAACAAGTCTTTGGACTCATGGTGGATAATGCGTCGCTCTTCCGCAGCAGCGAATTTGGTGTTGCCTTCGTCTTTTCGCCAGGATATTGTAGGCTTTGGTTGGCCTGTGGCCCCACATGGTAGTCTTATGGTATCCCCAGCCTGGACGGTTACATCTTTGGGTTTGCTTGTGAATGAAGGGAGTTCTAGAGAGAGAAAATAGAAATTCTCAGTTTGCATGTTGTGACATTATGGTCGTGTTGGAGGTCTTTGACAATAGATTTCTCGCTAGCGGCTTACTTTGTTACCACCAACATGGCTGCCATGCTTTTGTTTCTTTACTCTTAAGAACGATTGCAAAATATATTTTCTTATAGCTAAGAGAATTTTAGAATCATTTTAGTTTAACTGAGTTTAGCGCACTGCATCAAGACACTTACCAAAAACATCCAATTTTGCTCTCATCGAAGACGCGTAGCCAAACTTGCTATGAGCAAGACACTGATAGAATCCAGCATCGTTAAAATCTATTCTTGTGAGCTTTAAATCACTTGTATATATCACCATGTTGGCATCTGAGATCTGCAAAACACAGACATACAAACCCACGTGTATTAGTTACTAGAGTTCATGGGTGATACGTTTAAAAGAACATAGTAAGAGGAAACGGAGGTGGAATCTCTGATATCGTTGCTATAGATACTGCGATGTACTGCACAAGGACTAGCGTTCCCAAAACATTATGACTGTAACGACGAAATTACAATAAATCAATCGTCGTTTCAAAGGATACTGCGCAAATTATGAAACGTACTCATACTGCAATTAGACCCTTTTTCGCTGCGTACCTTTTACTCAATTACTCTGGCTTCGGCTTATTTTAGTGTCAAAATATTCTCAAATCTCAAGGATAAATTAAAGAGCACAAATTCAACGATCTAACACCTTAAAATTCGACGGGCCTTCATTGAACATTTGAACATTCTACACGAATTCGAGGTTAAGGCTCAATTTTTACCGCATTTTAAAGATCGTACCTTGGCATAATTTGTGATGCTTCCAGTCTTCATGACATCACGATCATGTCTCCAACTTAACTGCACGCCGGAATTATTTTTTTGTAACACCTGTACTTGGCATCGTAGAGTGACGTTCTTTCCTTTTAATACCTGTTGCGAGGAAGGGTGACGGGATATCTGTGGTACTGGGTTGCTGGTGTCTGTGGAAATCACACAAAAAAGTTTTTTAAAAATTAGGTTTCTTTTCGTGACGCTCAAAATACAGCCGTTTTTAGTGGCGTCACGCAACGCTCCTTTCCCCTTTTCTTCTTAATCTGAACGTGTTCTAAGAGCAAACACCTTTTTCTTATTTTTGTCCCTTCCAATCTTAGAGGCCATAGCTTTGTATGCTAGAATGAATACCATTATCTATGCTAGGATTATACGTAAAAGAATAAGATACAACAAAATAGACTAACCACATATAAATGCTGAAGGTGTGATGTTGAAGACGCTTTTCATGTGAAGATGCTGTGGGTGAAGACAGCGGGCTTGTACTGTTGTCAAGGACATTTTCTGACTTTTGAACCACTCTGGAAGCCACTTGACCTTACAGTCACACATAAGATGTGTAGTGTTGAGCCACCTTAACAAAATACGGGAAAATATTTCAGCATATGTACATATGCAAAAAAGCATTGATGTTCGATCAAAACCAAGGATATTGTTAAAGAACTAAATGATGCTTAAGGATGAAGCCATTTTTAATGGAAAAAAAAACACATTCGCCCTGGCGTAAAATGGTTGATTCCAAGACCAAAATCAATCGCAATTTCAGACGAAGTCACGTGGCTGGGTGGTTGTCTCTACCGCTAGTACTACCTACTGTTTTTATTTCTATTGGGGTCCCTAGTATAAAGGGATCCCCTACCTTTATAATCTTTGACACAGTGCATTGTGGTCTAGCTTGGGTGACCCAAAGATTTTCGTACACAAGCTAGACCACAACGCACCTTGTCTGCTATCTCAGCATACGTAACCCAAGACGTTTGAAAGTTTTTTACAAAGATACTTACAGTATACCAAGACTGGTCAAAACACGGAAAGCATTTTCTTGCACCGATGTGATGGCGTTGCCCGTCAGATTCCTTTTATCGTAGAAGTAAAAAGAATAAAAGAAAACAATTATATAACGATCAGAAACCCAGCGGAATAACTCGTAGACTTCCTTTAGCTGGGATTATCGTAGTCTCCCCCACGGCCGCTTTCAGTGTCGTCACGCAACGCTTTCTCCCCTGAGTAGCTACTCAGGGGAGAAAGCGTTGCGTGACGACACTGAAAGCGGCTGTGGGGGAGACTAGGATTATCGAGGAAGTGGCGAGATTAGTTTTATGTCTTCGGGAACCAAAGTCCGATGTTTTACCATTGTCTACAATAAACTAATGACAGATATACTACAGATGAAAATCAACTTTCTCTTAAGACGTTTTTTTTTACTACATCTAGTAGAGGTAGACTAAGAGGTAGAATAAGTGCTTGTTAAGGATGCAATTAATTTTAATCGAAAATGCTGGATTTTTCTTCCTAATATGAAGATAAAATTTAAAACATTTTTTAATGGACTCGAAGACGGATCTCGACTGTGTGAAAACTGTTTACCCCCTTACGGCTAAAGTGACTTCCATAGACAAGCATTTTAATTGGATGTTTGGGGCTTTCTTGCTTGTTAATTAGTTGATTTTAGAACTTCCGCTGGCCATTCAGACGGCATTATCTACCAACAACGTTTTGTGTAATCTTCAAACAAAAATTGCGAAATTTAAACGTGGTGAAAATCGTGTAAGGTGTTTTGAAATTTTGGTGGAGTTGCAAAGGTGAAAAGCTTTCAACTACAAGAACGCCTACAAAGGGACAATTTGTTTGAAGAACGTACAAATATTCGAATCCAGAACATGAACCTATCACTTGTACATTTACAAGTAAGGGTTAGTACTTTGTGTATGGTACGTAGTCTTTATACTATCATTCTAAGTAGCTCTTCCTGTACATACATCAAATATCACCCGAGATTTAAAAATATATTAAATAATCAAGTTTACTTACAGAAATTTCAAGTTTTCAAGCCCAACGAAGGCATTTTCTGAAATGGCAGTGATTCGGTTGCCATCCAACCTCCTAGACGATGAAAAAGATTTGAAATTAATAGAGAAATAAAACATATACTGCGCAGATCATCAATTAGATAAATTATAACCCCAGTACGAATATATAGTCTACATATATTCTCATATACAGAAATAAAACCGTATTTTACAGGGGGGAGGGGGGGGGCAATTCTACTTTCTTGAAGTAGTTGCCATGTAATCACATATTGATTAAAATAATGTGAATACGGAAGTTTCGCGTGATCACGTGACGACAGCCATATTGGATGCAAAGAACGATCATCATTTTACATGAAAAAAAATTCAATTCCCTAGAATAAAGGGTTTCTAGCGTTTTGTCATCTAACATGGCCGCCGCCACGTGATACTGCAAAAAACATATAGTCAAAAGAAAACATATAGTCAAAAGAAAACATATAGTCAAAAGAAAGTATAAATAGTAATGCAATATTGTAACCAATCGAACGTTCGACAAGAATATCAAGAACGAATTGACTTACAAAAAGACTAGATTTCTGAGGCTACTGAATAAGCCATTCATCTCGTCTACCGTCCATGATATATCATTTTTGCTTAAATCTCTGGAATTTAAAAAGTCAAAAAACTGCGTTGAAACAAATGCACGATAGATAACAACGAACGAGTCTATTACTTCGTATACTTACAAGGATTCTAAAAGGTTCAAATCTGAAAAGGCTCCTCTTGTGGTATGATAGATGCGGTTAGAAGCAACGTTTCTGGGAAAATAGAACACACAATCTAAGACTCTAAATGGTTAAAAAAATGAAATTAAGAAATTGTAAAAGCGATATAGATAGGGGTCTTTTTCTGCCCTCCGTTCTGGCTTTAGGTTGTGGGAGGAGGAGGAATTTTTTCCCCCCAGCAGGCCTGTCGCTGGTGAGGAAAAACAACCTCTGCTCGCATGGTTTGAAAAGGCAGACGCTTCGAATAGAGCACGCGATTTTCGTTTTCGATTTTCCCAAAATATTTTCGTTTGTGTCAGATTGGATGAATATACAAAGGGAAGCCAATTCAATGCAACGGCATACAGTGCAATGCTCTTTCTGGAACGCGCCACCGTACGTTTCCAAGGGACCGCGGAGACGGGGGGTCCCATACTTGTCTATTATATTCTCCTATCTTGCTCCCCCCCCCCC